AAATATCTATGATGTTAACACCTTCAGAAAATTTGACATGAAATTTTGAAGCTTGTTGTCAACACAACAAAATAGCAGACATATCAAATCGCATATAAATCAACATATGCATAACTCCGCTCTATTGAAAAAAATCTGCATTATTAACCGGTACACCTAGTGGACATAGCCCTGGCTGGTTTGGCTCAGTGGATAGAGCGTCGGCCTGCGGACTGAAGGGTCCTGGGTTCAATTCCAGTAGGGGCACATGCTGGGGGTTGTGGGCTCGATCCCCAGTAGGGGGCGTTCAGGAGGCAGCCGATCCATGATTCTCTCTCATCATTGCTGTTTCTCTCCCTCTCCCTTCCTCTCTGAAATCAATAAGAATATATTTAGAAAAAGATAGAGACACAGAGTGTGTGTGGACACAACACGCTCACACACTGGTCCTTTTTCCCGTTTGACATCCGGCTCCTTGGGTCTGGAATGAGAAGCAAAGACCCGACAAGCTCGCAGCTGGGCCCGCAGGCGGCTCAGTGAGGTTCTGGAAGGAATTCATGTCAAGGTCAGACTGCTGTCTGGAGTTTCTGCCCTCGCCCCTGCCCCCCTCTCCCACCAGGAACTTTCCTTCACCTTCCGAAGGCAGCCCTGGTGTCTGCCTGCAGCCGGGGATGGTAGTCACTTGGGCTCGAAGGTGACACTTCACTTTATGAAACCAGATGGCCCGTCGGAAGGCGCCCCCACGTTCACCCTGGTTCCGCCCCTGCACCCCCCACACCTGCCCCCCCCCCCCGCTGCACCTGAGGAGGGGGCTGGCTTCTGCCCCTTGCCCGAGTGCCCGGGGGCATTTCCCGGGCCCCGTTAACAGCCCGTCCCAGGAGCACTCATGGGGCAGCGGCCCTGTCTCACCCGTCTGCCTGGCAGTGGGCAGCCCGTAGGCCCAAGGTCACACGGAGGACATGACCCAGAGCCGCTCCCCCATGGTGCCTGCTGCTCCCCTCCCTCCGTGGCAGCCCGGGGACTTGGGAGACTTGGTTCCCTCCTGGGCGGGGAGAGCTGGAAAGAGGAGGTGACTGGGAGGAACAAGGACGAGGAAGGCCCCGTCGCCCCGGGAAGGAGGTGTGAGGCGGGCAGGGGAGCAGGGGAGGGGGTCCTGGGGCCCCAGCCCGGCCCTGGTGCCATCTTGCTCTGCAGGCTCCTTTCAGGGACCCCCCCACATGGGGCCCTGCAGCTTCACATGCTGGGACCGAGGCGCCCCCCGCGGTCTGCTGAGGCAGAGCCCTCCCTAGACCATGGCTGTCACGGACCGGCCAGCTGTCTGCCCAGTGGGGTGGCCCCTGGGTGCTGGGGGCCCTCCCCCTCCCCTCCCCTGGAGACCCCCCTCCAGCCCAGGCCTCTGCCCTGGAACCAGGGGCTCCCCCCTGAGTTCCATTCCCGGCAGCCTGAAGCCTCAGTGTCCCCGGGAGGCTCGGGTCACTGGGCTCCGGGGTGGTGGGATCTAAATGGTAAAAGTGGGACCGTCCTGAGGACGCCTGCATGGCTGGTCACCTGTGTCCTTCTCCCCCAAACCCTCTGGCCCTGCAGGCGAGTCCCCCACACACACCGGCCTGGCTCCCCGCCCCCCTCCCGGCCCTCGCTCAGGGAAGTACATGATCTTGCCCTTGGTGTCCTGGGGGGGGCCCACGCCCGCCCTGGCC